AATGTTTAAACGTTTAAAAACTGTGAATTTGATGAAAACGAGGCAAAAATCTGTAAAGTATTGTTATTTTAAGCTGACTTAAATATAGTTAGATGGTTTCATTTTAAAGTGAAATGTCGTAAAATAACAAATTATCATTTGTAAAAAAAAAAAAAAGAAAAGAAAAAATAAAGATAGGTTTTTGATGTGGACATTGATTCCAGTTTTTGTTGGGTTTTTTTTTAGGTTAAAGTATTAAAGTAATACTTTTGTTTTCCTGTGATCTCATTAGTTATTATCTGTACTGACATTAAATTTATTGTTCTTTCTCTACGGAGTAGTGAGTGCCAAATTCCTAAAATAAATCAATAAAATAATAATAAAATAAAAGTGGAAATAAAAAGAAGAATAAATAAAATAAAAAATACATAATGTGGCAATATAAAGCAATATTAATCAAAAATGAATCCATAAAAGAAAAGCCTAATTAAAGTAGAATTAAAGAGACTAATAAAAAAATAATAATAATAATTCATTTTTAATGTTTATTATTATTTTTTACATTTATTTTATTTTAATTAAATTTTTTAAATTTTATTTCTTCTTCTTTTTATGTCCATTTTTATTATATTATTCTTTTATTAATGTATTTTTGTAATGTGACACTCTCACTGCTCCATATTTTCCTGTTCTTTACTCTGCACCCTGAAAAAAATGAATTTTTTGGACCAAATTTAAACGAGTTGCTTCAATTAGTAACATGCAAATTTATCAAGTTTGTTCAAATGAAAGAAACAACTCATATTAGTGCCCCTGATTTAAATTAGACGTACTTAAATCCTTTGATTCCTTTGAAACGAACAGTTTGCTGCAACCTCATTTTAAGGAAAGTCAACTTGAAGTTTTCAATTTTCAAATCTAAACATTTGCTTTGCCTAAACATAAAAACATTTTGTGATCAAATGTTCTTTCCTTTATTTTACTCTGTACCGAGACCAACTAAACTCTCTGATTCCTTTCAAACAAACACTTGAATTTTAAGGAAAGTCAACTTGAAGATGCCAAATTTTTCCAACTCAAGGATTTTGCTTTTCTAAAACTTACAACAAGACTTTAGATTTATCGTTCTGTCCTTTCGTTCACGCTGTGATTCCATCATGTCAGATGCACGATGCTGAAGCTAATTGTCACATTTTTGCAGGAAGTTTAAAGGAACAAAGTGTCGTTTCAAGTTGACCGAATCCACAGAAGTAAACCGGCAGCAGGAAGCAGAAAGACTAGTGAGATAACAGCTCAGATATGTTCGTTTTTCATGCGGCGTAACTTTGGTTGTGAGTGTTTCAGGGTCGCTCAGCAGAAAGGAAAATAATAATTCATCCAAACATGATAGATTTCGACCTTCGTTAATGGAGCCAGTAAAAGCCGACTCGATACTAAAGGGAAGAGCTTTCACTGTTTTTCTGCACTCCAGCTGCCTCTTATGAAATATGAATGTTCACTTTTTCCGAGGCGCTGCAGAATAATGTGGGGTGAAGACGTCTGCAGGTCCAGTTTATGGATCCACAGGGTGTGAATTAAGTGCTGATAATTGTTGGTTTCATTAAGAGTCGCGCCAGAATCCGATTTGCTTTCTGCAGATCACAAACGCATTTTAGTGTCAGAGCGACGCATTAAGAAAACTCTGCTCAGTTTGTTCACGGGTTTAGATTTTGTTCATTCGAGTCAGAAGAACCAGAACCTTTCAGCAGAACCGCACCAGCACCCAGGAGGGCAGAACGACGCGGTGAATTCATGCCAGCTGGCTCCGTCGCGCTCGCTAATGCATGGACGTGATGTACTGATGTCTCGTAAGCTCGATGTCTCCAGATGCAAACTCACGAGAGATTTCTGTCTGATTACAAAAAAAACAAAAAGACGTCTGCTCGTTTGACATTTTGCACTTGAGCTTAAACGTGTTTTTTGCAGATTTCTAGTGTATAAACA